ATGCAGCTCAGCGACACGATAGTGGGTGCCGTCAATCTGATTGATTTGGCCGATGACTACTCGAAGGCAAATCCTACTGTCTACCACAAGAACGATGTGCTCCGTGCTTGCGTGGTGGGTGTTGACAAAGCCAACAAGAAGATTTCCCTCTCTCTCCGCCCGTCGAAAGTTCTGAGTTCCTCACTTTCGGTCCAGGATCCCGAAATCACTTCTATGAAGCAACTCAAGGTCAATGATGTGGTTCGCGGATTTGTCAAGAGAGTGGCTGATAGCGGTCTCTTTGTAACTCTGGGTCACGATGTAACGGCCTACGTTCGCGTCTCTGACCTATCGGACTCCTATCTTAAGGAGTGGAAGGACTCTTTCCAAGTCGACCAGTTGGTCAAGGGACGGGTGACTGTTGTTGATCCCGAGCAAGGCAGATTGCAGATGAGTCTCAAGGAATCTGTCTTGGATCCAGACTACAAGGCCCCGATCACGATGCATGACCTCAAAGTCGGTCAGGTCGTCACTGGCAAAGTTCGCAAAGTGGAGGCATTCGGCGCCTTCATTGTCATCGATCGATCCGCCAATATTAGCGGTCTATGCCATCGTAGTGAGATGGCTGACAAGCGAGTTGACGATGCCCGCACCTTGTACGAGGAAGGCGACGTTGTCAAAGCCAAAATCATCAAGATCGACCGTGAGTCAGGGAAGATCTCATTCAGCTTGAAGGCTTCCCACTTCAAGGATCATAATGAGGAAGATGAAAGTGGCAGTGACGAGGATGGTGACTCCGACGGCGTCAGTCTAGATGGTATGGGTGGTGTCGACGTAGAAGGTAGTGACGATTCCGAGGACGATGACGACGACGAATCTATGGGAGGCGTTGATCTTGAGGAAGACAGCGAGAGTGATGGTGAGCAGAGCGATGAAGATGTGGAGATGACCAGCGCACCTGTTAAAAGAGACGGTGGCCTCGGTGCAACGGGCTTTGACTGGAGTGGAAATGTCAAAGACGATGAGGACGAAGCCATGCAGTCTGATTCCGACAATGAAGACAACTCTCGGAAGAAGAAAAAGAAGAGCCGCAAGGCTGAGATTCAGGTGGATCGGACCGGCGAGTTGGACGCCAATGGGCCACAGTCAGTGGCCGACTACGAACGCCTCCTGCTCGGTGAGCCTGACTCTTCGCTTCTCTGGCTGAAGTACATGGCCTTCCAGTTGGAGCTCGGCGAGGTCGAGAAAGCCAAGGAGATCGCCGAACGTGCCCTTCGCACCATCAGCATCGGTCAGGACACCGAGAAGTTGAACATTTGGGTGGCTCTGCTCAACTTGGAGAACACATACGGCAATGATGACAGTCTCGACGAGGTGTTCAAGCGCGCCTGTCAGTACAACGATACGCAGGAGATCTACGACCGCATGACGAGCATCTACATCCAGTCAGGAAAGAATGAAGTGAGTCACCCCTGATACCATTCACCAAGTAATGTATTTAAGTATGCGAATGCTGACCCAATTGACCTTACAGAAAGCGGATGAGCTCTTCCAAACGGCTCTCAAGAAGAAGATCTCCAACACGCCCAAGTTCTTCCTGAACTACGCCAGCTTCCTGTTTGATAGCATGGCGGCGCCCGATCGTGCTCGCGCTCTGCTTCCTCGCGCACTCCAGTCTCTGCCCTCTCATACGCACGTGGAGCTTACCTCTAAATTCGGCCAGCTGGAGTTCCGCTCGCCCAACGGAGACGTCGAACGTGGCAGAACTGTGTTTGAGGGCCTGCTCTCCTCGTTCCCCAAGCGGGTCGACCTGTGGAACGTACTCTTGGACTTGGAAATCAAGAATGGCGACGCGGAGCAGGTCCGGCGGCTCTTCGAGCGCGTACTTGGTATCCGGGACGCCAAGAAGGGTGCTGCTGCTGCTGCTGCTGCTGCTGCTGCTCCCATGGACGCTAGCAAGAAGCTCCGTCCCAAGCAGGCCAAGTTCTTCTTCAAGAAGTGGCTGTCGTTCGAGGAAAAGCTGGCAGCTGCTAATGGCGGTGATCAAAAGATGGTGGAGGAGATCAAGGCCAAGGCGGCGGATTATGTCAAGTCTCTGCAGAACGCATGAGCATTGCAGATAATTGTGTAAAGAGTTGGGGATCTTGCTTAGTTCTCATTGGGTGTTATGGGGTCATAGATGCATTGTATATACAAAAAGCATTCGGAAGCCATGTCTTCTCGTCCATAGGCATAAAGACTTTTCTTGTGTATGTGATGCGCAAAGTAAATCATTCTCTATTATCAGTGGCATAAAAAGCCTCAAAGGGGTATTAGATCTCAAGAGCCACAAATCAACGTCTCTTTTCAGCCATCAACCGCCGATACTCTTCCACAATAGTCCTCCGCTCGCTTGCCAGCTCCTCTCTCCGTCTCAAACTTCCCACAGCAGCAGGAACGTTCGCAACATCGACTCGGGCGCCTCCGCGGACCTTGAAAACCTCCTTCGGCTTCGTCAATTGCGGCGGCGCCTGAACCACATCAAAGGGGTTCGCCGGCTTGTTCATCCGGTCCCGTTTCTTCAGCTTCGCCCACGGATCAGGACCATCATCCTCCAGCGCGCCATCGCCCTTCTTCTTTCTTTTCGCAGCAGCGCCCTTCTTCTTCGCCTTGGCCTGCGCAGCCTCCATCTCCCACTCCTTCCACAACTCCAATTGTTCCTCCAGCTCGGCCTCTCGCTCCTCCCGCTCGGCCGCCTCACGCTCCTTCATCTCCGCTTCCTCCTTCCGCCACTGCTCCTGTAACCGGCGAAGGTGCTTCTCGTGCTTCGTCCGCCGTCCCTCGCGCAGCTTAGGCAAATCCGCCGACGCCGGCTTGTCCGATCTCTTCATTCCCGATATGGGCATCTCGCGATCAACCCGCGCAGCAAAGTCTGACAATTTCTCCCCCGGCAGAATCTTCAGATTAGACGTCGGCTTAGATTCCGCGGCGGCGGTTGTCGATGTCGCGGCATTCGCGGCCTTAGCCGGAGTCGACGATGCAGCAGTCTTCTTCCGCGACGACTGCTTCGTGTCCTCGCTTGCATCGCGCTTGCGCTTCTTGCTCCCTGTCTCGCCGGCGTCGGGTTTGGGTGGCGCTGGCTTGCCGCCGTTGGCTTGGAGCTGCATCAGGCGGCGGAAGGCGCGCGGGGTATCATCGTCCAGGTCGGATTTGCTGCGAGCAAAGGCCGATGGGTTTTCTTTCTTTTTTGGGACTTTGGACTTGGGGGCGGACTTTTTGCCTTTGGTTTTCGGGGCGTTGGGATCGTGGGTCGGGAGAGGTTTCGCGATCAGGGTGGGTGGGAGGTCGTAGATGCTGTGGTGGGATTAGCGGATGTATATAATATTAATCGTGTTGTGACGTTATACTCACCTCGAGTCATTTTTTCTTCTCTTGTGCTTGTGAGGCATGGTGGATTCTTTGGTCTTGTTGGTTGTGGTTGATAGAGACTGAAACTGAGATGGTCGGCGAACTTTTTTTCCTTGGTTGTTTGGCGGCAGATCTAATCGCCATCGCTACTGATAAGGCTGTGAGATCCGATAATGGCACAGTACAATGCTACAATGCTACATACCTCTACCTCTCTCTCTCTTACAGGTAGACAATCATTTTTTTCCTGGTATGAGCACATGTATTCCCAGGTGATTATTGACTTGTCCTTCGTAATGATGCGCCCAGAATAAGCCCCCATTCTTGTACTTGTTTATTACAGCATTGGAGTAGGTACAGAGTGCTGTGCTCGAGGTCATCGAAGCAACCTTCTATTATTCCTGTAGTATGCCATCGATGATAATAGCACCAATATACTTATGATACGATGCTTCCCTAGAGAGTAAGACGCAGAAGCATGCTTGAAGTTCCTATATTGACCAGAATCACTTGTCGACGCTTACCAGGGCTACTGAGGCAATAATGTACAGCACGCTACTAGTTCCTCTACCATTATCAGGAACAAGCGATACAGACATTTGGTGCTGGACAATTGATACTGGTGGATTAATATACTAGTGTCCTTGTCGGCCACGGCTAGCATCTCCGGGGTATTCTACCCCTCCGTCAATTTATATTGAGACACTTTCTCCGGTCATGTGGGTAGAATGACTTTTCTACTTCACTACTACTACTGTTCAGGACTGGAGTGGTTCGGCTCCAGCGACTGAACTGGACTGGACTGAATTCTAAATGCGCCATTAATGACGCTTAAGAGAAACGCTATTCGTGTGGCAAATCGCGCAGTGGATGAGAGCCAGGCATCAGAATTCAAAATGTACTCTGGTAGACTCGGCCGCAGCTTCGGTTACGGTGCCAGTCAGCATGCATACATCTTCGAGATTTACCATAAGATCCACGGGAACCAGCGGTTAATGTTATTATTGGGAGCGATCAGTATCTTAGAGAGGCCCTCCTGTCGATCAGCTGCGTGTCTGGCCTCCATCTCAATGCTCGTTTCACGACTGGTGGGGGCCGTTTTGTGGTGAAAACGTCCATGGTCCAATGTCACTAGGCAATGGGGGCGGACTTAGTACCAACTCTGGTTGAATCCTTTCAAATCATAAAGTCCAAGCCTTCGTGGGGAGTGAGACCCTTAGGCTTGGAGACGCGTAAAGACCAACGAAATCGGCACGGCTCGCCTCTTAGGACGCACTTCTGGAGCGGCTTCAAGCCTCTTGTTGGCCCACCGTCCAATCGTCGTCGCTATTGCTGCACATGGGGATGGGTCAATCCAGGGTCCAATAACCCCCAGCGAGCCAGTGGTGACTCGAGACCCGAATCATGTTGATGGTTCCTAGAAATAAACTCTTACCAGATCAATTCAGGCGTCCACTTTTCGGCGGAGGGTCTTGGTGTGCAATGATCTGACATTTACCCCTCTCGAATTATAAAATGCACATGAGATGGCTGTTCTTGTACGATTTTCTGTCGAAGAATTGACGGTGGATTGAGGCGGTTGAAGTAGTAGTCCTCGCCAGTTGGTGAGAATTCCAAGTGATACAGTATCAGCTATGGGCTTCTTATCCGCCCGCAAGGGACGCTCCCCGCAGTCCTACGAATTTGTCCCGATTTCCTTTCCCTCCGACGACCAAGACGACTTGCAACGCGACAAACCAGACATTCATGTTTCTATCGAGGAATTACCGGCAGACATCTCAATAGACGAATATCGATGTTCGGGCCAGACCCGATCTCGGTTCACATGGAGCCAAAGACTGGCCGGGATTTCTTCGCTCTTCTCGTCAAATGAGGAGAAGATCGAAGATGCTCTACCTCTCCTCTCACCGACCACTAAACGTTCAAAACGCTCATATACTTTGCATAGACGGTTCAAGAATCGCAAGGTGTCCTATTGCTTGCTTTTTACCGTTGCAGGGGTTTTCATCATGCTGTGAGTACTCGTCCTACCCCTACCATCACCACCACCCATCGGCGCCAATGACCACTAATTGTTGTTCGAACCCATACAGAGGACTCATTCAGTTCATCTCGATAACCTGTGGCATTGTGCTCTCGTTTTTCCCCGATGAATTCGACAAAGCGGCCGGCCATTGGCGCCACGTTCCGGACAACGACCTATACGCAGACATCACACATTGGCCCACAGATATCTCGCGGGACATCATCCCTGTTGGGTGCCATTCACACAATGACTACTGGCGACGGGTGCCCCTGTACTCGGCCTTGCAGGCGGGTTGCATTGGTGTCGAGGCCGATGTCTGGCTGATCGACAACGAGCTCTACGTCGGCCATACCTCCACGTCCCTCACCACGAAGCGCACCCTCAAGAACATGTACATCGACCCATTGATCAACATCATTGAACGGCAGAATCCCATCACTCAGTTCCACCCAGCTGTTGATCAACCCCTGCATGGAGTCTTCGACACCGACCCTTCTCAAACCCTCATTCTCCTCATTGACTTTAAAACCGACGGAGAAAAGACATGGCAGCGTGTAATGGAGAATTTGTCGCCTCTGCGCGAGCGCGGTTACCTCACCTACTTCAATGGCACCGGCCTGACCAATGGCCCAATCACGGTTGTCGGAACGGGAAATACACCCTTCAATATGATCACGTCGAACTCAACCTATCGCGACATCTTCTTCGACGCCCCGCTAAACCTCCTGGCCGAGCACGCGGCCATCACTCCTCCTGCAGATGCTGACACCGCCGCCGACGCTGACATCCCGCATGACTCGGCGGCCACCACTCAGCAACCTACCGGAAACGCCGGCCAAGGCCTGTCAGGTATCTCGGCCGGCGACATTGGCCCTGACACCTTCAACTGGACCAACAGCTTCTACGCCTCTGTCTCCTTCAAGAAGTCCATCGGATATCCCTGGAGGTTCCACCTGACAAACAAGCAGATGGATCTCATCCGGGCGCAGATCCAGGGCGCTCATCGTCGAGGACTCAAGGTGCGTTATTGGGGATTGCCTAGCTGGCCGCGGAGTCTGAGGAATCACATCTGGGACGTTCTGGCGCGTGAGGGCGTCGATATTCTGAACGTGGATGACTTGCAGAGTGCTACGAAGCAAGAATGGAAGGTCAAGATTTTTGATTGGTAGGATGGATGTACTCTGTTTTTACCGGCTGTCGCGCTGGCGTTAAGATGGCTGCTGGGCGGTCATCTTAGCCTGACATCGCTGCCACTGCCACACCTTCAGGTGGTATGATGAACGAGTCTTTGGTTACAGATATGATTTTAGAGGTTTATATTTTCTGATTTGGCGAATTTGCGAGTTCACGGCGTCGGTTCCGGATGTCCAATAGACGATACCTTGGGCTTGGTTTTCAGTTCTGTTTTTGTCCCTTTTCACGTCTACCTTGTTATAGACCAATACGATTTAGACTGAAGAAGCCACATACAAGAGATGGTCAACAATGCTCGGATATATCCCAGCGTGGAGTAAATCGTCTCATTGAATGCTTCATACCAATCAATGATATAAATGCGTTGATGCAGGATAATTCAGGGTATCAATAATGTGTCTCATCGGAACCTTCAGCGCGGCACTTGCTATGATCAAGTCACGCTGAAGACAGGATAACAATAAGTACTTTTTAATAGCAGAAAACAAAAGCAGAAAGAGACGAGGGTCATAGACACATCAAAGACTCTTCTCCAAACTCTTTAAGAATGGTCCCCTCGTCACGTAAGATACCCCCTAGCCAATTCTTGGCCGTCTCAAAGTCATTCGCGCCAAATTTCACAAGGACGAAGCCTCCTCTTACTCGCGCCGCGGTGAAGGTCACTTCCGAGTCTGCATTTGGCGGCGTCTCCACGGCCGCCGGGGCAGAAGATGACCAATTCCGAGCCCCGATGCGCGGCTGCGACGTGAACCTATCCATAAAGAACGACGCCAAATCCTCAAACACAGGACCGTACAGAATCAGGGTGCCTATGATCCCGTGGGGTCGCGTACGCTCCCGGATCAAGTTGCTATGGCTGAAGGTCTCTGAGTCATTTTCCAAACATACTGCATCGATCTCGTCATCTAAGATGATCGAGTCGCGGAGGAGGAGCTTCTTCTTGCCCGCGGCGTCGTGTGTCCAGACTTCGTTCTTCCCTTTCCAGAGGTGGAAGTCCCAACTCTCGCCTCGTGAGGTGCGGCCCTGCGTCACCCAGTCCAGCACACACAGGCTGCTTCTCTTGTGGTCTTTTGATGCCCCGTCGACGGTGAATGATTGTACCTGCTCGTAGCGGCTGTCCTTGAAGGGCACGGCTGGGTCTGGAAGGTAACAGAGAGCGGCTTCGCTGGCGATCTGTACATTGACTAGCTGGCGGCTCTTGTCTGTGAATGCGCGAGCTGGTGTTCCCCGTTGGCCCTTGACGCTTGCAGTAGGCTCTGTCTTGAAGATCTTGGTGCTTCCCTGCGGTGTGGTCACAACGAGTCTTGTGCGGGGATCCAACGTAATGGAGACATCAATGTGATCGCCTGGTAGAAGACCTCCACCGTATGTGAGAAGATAGAGATGAACAGGTCGAGAAGAGCTTGTCAGCCCAGACGACTGGGGCACAAAGCCAGGGGCGCGTGTGAGCAGCTTCAGTGGGTATTTGTAAGTCAAGGTCGTGAGGGTCGGGATCGAAGGAGGAAGGAGAGATAGTACGACTTTGCCTTGACCTGGTTTGGCAATGGACGACTCAAATGGTGATATTATTGGCATCGTGTCTGAGCTTCTTCAACGAGTTCTAGTCAAACGGGATTAGGATGTGGGGAGATAGGGAAAAGTAGACAGGCTAAGTGGCTGTAACCGCATGATATATCCGTATCTAGACGCAGACAGAGAGGACGCAATTAGAGATGCTGTGCAGAATGGCGTCATGAAGGTTCCTTTCATGCGCTCCTTCTGGCTCCTGATCTTTTCCGGGGCAGCCAAAGAGCAGTCAAACTGTCCAGTCGCCAGTCCTATTCCTAACAAACTAGCAGATGGAAGCGGGGTTCTATTGACCTCGTGAAACGGACAAAAGGCTGGAGTTCTTGGCTCTCAGATATTGAGCTTCATATGCGGCCGTGATGGAGTAAAGAGGATTCTCATTACGGCATGATTATTCTCTTTCTCCGCATATCCAGCAGGGTTGGTTGGGGTCAGATGTCCGTTGACGCTGACCCCTGGCTGATCCCAAAATAGTATGACTAAAACTACCTACCTAAGAGAGCCGGTATGGTAAGAATTGGTAATTAACTTCAGGTACCTTAACGTACTGTGACAGCCAAAACTTAAGGTACGTGTGGGAGCTATTGTGGCCTGAGGCATAAAGTTGTGCCTGAGCGCCTGGCGCCGCTCGGTACCCCGTCGCCAGGCATCAAGGCGCGTCGTCGTCCACGAGAGACAGTTCAAGTCCGTGTCCCCTCATTCTCTCCATCTCGAGTCAGTCCCACTTTTCACACCACATTCGGGCATTGTATCGCACATGGTGTCATTGTATATCTGAGAGGTAAGTGCATTGTTTCTATGTCTTTTTTTGCCGACTTTTTTCGCGCGATGCGGCAAACGCGCCTAGAGGGACTCGTAACAAGAGTGCTACATCGCGACCCCAACTGATCATTACATTACACCCCATCGCATTCTGAGAGACATAGGGCCAACCCTTGTTCGAGTCCGATCTGTTCATCATCTCAGTTTTCGCTTGTCAATGCTCAGGTCAGCTTATGCATCTTACTGACTAAATACACTATTCTACAGCGCGCTATATTATCACCTACAAGAATGGAAAATGAGTCGCCTCTTTCGAGTCCCGAACCCGGGCTGACCGACCTCGATTCGCCCCAGGCATCAAATAGAAGAAAGTCCGGACGTGTATCGCGCAAACCCGAATTTCTTTCTCAAAGTTACGGAGCCAAGCGCAAGCGTGACACTGCCCGCGATGCAGACGAGGAGGATGATGCTGATGAGCACGACGCGTCGGAATCAGAAGAAATCAGTGACGACGAGCCAGACGAAGAAGAATTGAGGGAAAAGAGACGCGCTGCGCGCAAGGCTTCCGCAAAGAAAGCCACGTCTGGCACCACAAGCAAGAAGACAAAGTCTCAAGCGGCACATGCTGCGAAGAGGCCTAAAGTCGCGGGCAATGGGGTTCCGAGCCAGCTGGCGATTCGTCCAGCTGTCAATGGCAAGAAAACAGTGTCGCGTCCGAGGAAGGTGAAACCACGGCCTAGTTTGGCCGCTGGACAAAGTGGCTTATATGGTAGGTGGCTTGTTTTCTCTTGTTTTCGACTTGCGCATCGGCTTACCATGTCTCAACAGCGGAGGTCTTTGGCAAAAACCAGACTGGCGACACTGTTGCTGCCGAATGGCTTACCCAGTATCAGAAGGATGCCAAGGCTGCGATGCACGCCATGATCAACTTTATACTCAAGTGTGCAGGGACCGATTTGGAAGTGAGCGATGCGGATATTGATGATCCAGACCACGCACCAAGGCGCATCAATGACTTGTCGACCGAGTATCATGCGCTAGGGATCTTCGAATATCCTCTCATTTCCAAAGCTCGCACATTCAAAGCCTTTCAACCCATTCTCGAAGACTTCGTCGCCGCGCTCGTACAGACTCTTCATCATTCTTCTGTTTTGTATAAGCAGCAGGAGCTCTACGAAAACCTTCAAATATGGTTAGCTGCCTTGTCCACTTCGGGTTGTCGACCATTCCGACATACCTCGACCGTCATTTCCCTCGCGATCATGAACGCCTTGTGCGATGTTGCACGAGAAGTAATGACCACTGTCTCTACCTCCCGTAAACAGCTCGAGGCGGAAAAGAGAAAGAAGACGGTAAATCAGGGCAGAGTCAATGCAATTACTTCAACAATCGAAGAAGGCGAAAGCAAGCTGGAGGCAATCGATGAGTACCTCAAGGACGGTGTCAATATCGTTTTCGTCCACCGCTACCGAGACATCGACTCCAAAATCCGCAGTGAGTGCATTGCGGCTTTGGGGCGCTGGATGCACACCTATCGAGAATACTTCTTCGAAGGTCAATTCCTTCGCTACTTTGGCTGGATACTCTCCGACCCATCTGCTGAGACGCGCTCCATTGTCGTGACGCAGCTCCAGCGTCTGTACTCTAACAAAGATAACATTGCTGGCTTGAGGTCGTTCACTGAGCGCTTTCGCCAGCGCATGGTGGAGATGGCAGCACACGATGCGGACGTCGGCGTGCGCGCCTCGTCCATCGAACTACTCGATCTCATTCGGGATGCAGGATTACTTGAGCCTGCCGATATTGACACCGTTGGTAGACTCGTATTCGACGTGGAACCCCGTGTCCGCAGAGCTGCCGGTCCGTTTTTCGTGGCCAATGTGGAAGATGTGTTTGATTCCACAACCGAAGAGGTCGGAGACGAGATGAACGAGATGTTTGGCGACGAAGACGAGGATGACTACGAGTCGCCCAAGCGCTCTTGGATCAAGTTCAGGTGCCTGGTTGATATCCTTCAAGCTTATGATGAACAGGAAAACGAATTGACTCCTGAGCGAAAGTTGTCCACGGCGCGGGATGCACTTTCGGGCACATCTTTAGACTCGCGGTTTGTACTTGCTACGGAGGCCATCTACCCGCACTTCGCAGAGCTCTCTCAGTGGCAATCTCTGGCTGGCTTCCTCCTCTACGACCATTCCCAGATTCCCGATGATCCTACTGAGGACAATGCCACCGGCACGGTCAAAAAACTGTATAAGATGCAGGAAGGGCAGGAGGTTATCCTTCTTGAAGTCCTCTGTTGTGCGGTTAAATTACGCATCCTCGACGTGGCCAAGTCAGACATTGACAAAAGAGGTCGTAAAGTGAAGGCATTGACAGACAAGATTCCTGAGCTTCAAGAAGAGATTGCACATAGTCTTGCCCAGATCATTCCTCAATTGTTGAACAAGTATGGATCGGTTCCGGAAGCGGCGTCTGCGGTTCTTCGACTTGAGCATCTGGTCGACTTGGACAAGATCCAGGATCTGCAAAAGGATGCCACCGCATACACTTCACTGCTGAACGATATTAACAAGCAGTTCCTCACGCACTCTGACCAGGATGTGTTGGCAGAGGCCGGTGTGGCCTTTTTACACGCAAAGAGCTCTGATGACATGCGAGAAGCTCTCGAGAGTAAGGTACAGGAGCTATGGGATGATATCATAGATGCCCTCGAGACCCGGTCACAAAAGAAAGAAGTCGTCCAGGGTAGCTCGATACCAACGCCAGCCCTGAATGACCTTGCCAACACAGCGATGAGAATTTTGAAACTGGCCAGTGTGACCGACTGCACACACGTCCTTGAGAAGAAGCCGTCATCTAAATCCAAGGGCAAGAAGAAGGAAAATCTCGAAGCTCCCTTTAATGTGCTCATTCATTTGGTCAAACGTGGTCTGCGCGAGGAAGAGGAAGACGATGAGTCTGCCAACGCGGAAAGCGAGTTGGTGACCAGCAGTATACGGACGCTGCTCTTCTACTTCATGTGGAAAGTACAAGCCTTAACCACGGCCTTGAGTGCAGGAAAGGCAGCTTTCACTACGGCGTACTTTGAAGCTCTGACTAAGAGCCGTGAGGTGTTTGTTGCTAGTCTAGTCGCCGTCATGAGACAGCGCAATGGTTTGGATGACATTCGCTTCACGGCGACCACAACACTGCTCGATCTGCAAACGTTGTTTGGTACACTCCGTCACGCTGGGTTGAACACAGGGAACGATGAGGAGGTTATTATGCAAACGCAGAGCTTGGTTCACGAAATCGATGCAAATACACAGGCACTGATTGCTAAGATACATGGCATCGCGGAACGCACATATGCCAGGAAGTTACGGCAGCCTCTCGAGCCTGCAGAAGACGACGAGCCTGCCTCTGAGTCTGACGTCGAGCGGGAGCCTTCAGATGAGGAGGACGAAACAGGAGCTGAGGGCGAATCAATAGCGAACGAGCGTCTGCGCTCCACCATCCTAGCGGAGCAACGGCTGTGCGAGCTGACGGGTAAAATCGTCCTTGCCATAATAGGCCGCATCATTGACGCCTCGGGCTCGGAGCGTGGACAGTTGAAGCAGCGGCTCGTCCGACACAAGTCCCGCTTAGGCCAGAACTACCGCGAGGTGTTGTCTTTCCTTGATGAACGCAAACCTAAAGTTATTGGGCCCCGGCCGTCTCGATCGAAAGGCAAGCAAGCCGCCGCTGGAGACGCGCAACAGGACCGGGTGAGTGCTACCAAGCTATCAAAAAATTCGAAATCAGCCGAGCGAGTCGGCGACGATGAGGAGGAGGAGGAAGAGGAACGCGAGCCTGACGTTGACGCTGAGGAAGACGAAGAAGATGATCTTCGTGCACGAGGACTTGTCGAAGACGAAAATATCGACGAAGACCATGAGGAGGAAGACGACAATCACACCGCGCCAGATCCCGATGAGGATGAAGTGATGGGAGATTAATTACTCAATTCGTCTTCAATCCTCATCCTACGGATTTGCCGTTCCCCTCACCCTTCTTATCTTCTCCTCCATGTAAATTCTAACTACGACTGCACTGAATGTTTCTCTACACGATGAGCCGGGCGCTTTTGCTGGATATTCCGATCCTCTCCTTTTCTCTATTAATTGCTATGACGACGTCTACGTCTTCACTTTAAACCAGTTCGAAATCTGATTGTCGTCTTTGTTTGAATGTTCTACTCGCTCTATTTAAATATTCATTCCCCATTTTTTCTCTTCGCTCGTCTCTTTCTAATACCTGGAAATTTATTTCAACATATGTCTTAGTAGCTTGTCGGCACCAATCGTCCTAGCGGTGGTGTATGTATCAATGCAACTTGCCTCTTTGCAGATTGTACATACTGGCGGAGCTGTTCGTCATGTTCTCTCTATTTGTCCTTCCGGGGAACCATTCAGACTTAGTTGGCTCTTAGTTTCCAAAACTCCGAGAAAACGCATATTTGAAAAATTTACAATGATCAATACGACTGTAGTTGAGCACAGAGCATTTAGAAAGGTCTTTTTGCTTTTGTATTGAGACGGCTTACTCCAGGTGCTGGTCCACTTCTAAAAATGAGGACGCATGGAACTTCAGCCTACCAAGGAACCACACTTGAGCAGAATCACATCCGAAAAAGGGAATAAGTCAAATGACAACAAGGACGCCTGTGTATGAGGGATGCTTCGAGGGAATTGACGCGAGGGGGCAACTATAGGGGCTACATGACGGTGAATCTTTTGCATCGTGAAAGGACAACAAAGGAAAACGTAAAGGAATCATAGCTGAAAACGGATGAAGGGGTAGAATAAGACAGGGAGGGAATTAACATAAAGTAAGCCTAGCTCGCAGGCTGGGGTTCGATGACAGCAAAGAGACAGAGGCATGAGGTATTCAAAAGTGATTTGAGGGGAAGAATTTGAAACGTTATTCCTGTCCTAGAGAAGGGAGAAAACGAGGATAAGATACTTTGACTGCCAGAGCCCTCGCAAGGCGTGTTTACATATCCATGGAGTCACCGCCGTTGCCAAAGTTGAATCCGCCAGGCTGCTGCTGGTTGGTTCCTAGGGCGAAACCAGTTTGTGTCTGCTGAGGGGCAAGCTCATCAATGTCACCGCCGGTCTCTTCCTCATCAGAGAAGTATTTCTCAATGATGTTGTAGGCCTTCATGTAGATCTCCTCGTTGGCATTGTTCTGGCAGTCGTGGATCTTCTCCATGCCACCAGCCTCTTCGATGAACAAGGCATACCGGTTGACGCGAGCCTCGCCAGTCTGAGCGGCCTCTTTGTCCATCTCTCCGACCTTGAGAATGTTCTCCAAGCCATCCAGAGCAACCTGGATAATCTTGTTATCAGGGCAAGCAAGGAGGTCGCACAGAGGCTTGATGCATCCTTGAGTAACCAGGTAGCGGATCTGGTCGGGCTTCTGCAGTCCACCTGAAGTGGCATTCGAGATGGCCCAGCAAGCTTCCTTGCGGGTCTTGAAGTCGCCGTTGGCAAGCAAGTTGATCAGAGGAGGGATAATACCAGCATCGATCACGGACTGAATCTGGCTAGAGTTGCCGGCGGTGATGTTGGAGATGGTCCAACAGGCTTCCTTGCGGATGCCATCCTTGGTGGAACTCAAGAGAGAGAGGAGGGCAGGTAGAGCTCCGCAGTTGATGATGACCTGAGTCTGGACGTCGTCACCAGTAACGATGTTTCCAACAGAGCGAAGGGCTGGGGTCTGAACAGAGGTGGAAGCGTGCATGAGCAGCTCAACCAGACGACGAGGGATGCCGGCCTCGATGACCGCCTGAATCTTATCGTTGGAGCCGTCAGACAGGTAGGAGATGGCCCAGCAAGCATCAATCAGGACCTCGTCATCGAGCATATAGATGAGCTTGGCAAGCACAGGAAGAGCAGGGGCAATCTGGGAAGCGTTAGAAAAGTAACATCATAATTAGAGCATAACCTGGGGAAACCTACTGTAGTCCAATCAGGCTGGGGCGTCTTGCCACGGCAGAAGTTGCTCAGTGTCCATGTGGCGTTTCTCAGCATGCTCAGCTTCCGGCCATCGTTGATGAGGTTGAGCAGAGGACGGAGGGCACCAGCATTGAGCACAAAGTCACGGCACTGAGGGCTATCACCGGCAATGTTACCAAGAGCCCAAACGGCCTGTTCCCGAACATCGGGTTCGGGGCTGCTGAGAAGCTCAACGAAAATGGGCACAGCACCAGCTTCAATGACAACCTGTGTCTGCTGGGCGGAACCAGACGCAATGTTGGTCAGGGCCCAAGCGGCCTCGAACTGCACCAAGGTGTGAGGGGAGCGCAAGAACTCCACAAAACGGCTAACAACACCGGTCTCGATAACACGTTCAATAGGAGGATTGCGCTCCTTGGAGAGCAGCTTTCTGAATTTGGTTGTAGCTTGGATCTGTGACTCAATCTGGTCGGAGAAGACGCCCTTGACCATCTCCGGGAGCTCCACGTTGAGCTAAAACAAGAGTTTTTCATTAGCCACCTATTCATTTTTAATGTAAATCAAGAAAACAGTGCTGTATTGAATTGAGTTGAAAAGTGTCGTGTGCGCCCCTCGATGGTTCAATTGGGAGGGCGGATCCCACCTAGCCCAGCAACCGGGGGCGGTGAAAAAGGCCGTCGTGGAGTGTATAGTGAACAAAAACAAATAAAAGACCATAGATGAGTCTGCGGACGGAGAAAACTCGAGACAGATAACAAAGTGTGCAAAACACAACTCATAAGATATAGAGAACTTGACATACCTCACTCTCAATAGCACTGGCTTCGTCGTCACTCTCGGTGGCGGCCATGCCACCTCCTACGCCAATCCCGCCATCCCGGGTCTGAATACCTCTCCTCTTGGCCAAGTTTTCTTCTCTCTTTTGCTTTCTGATCTCGACCTGTTGCTCTTCACGACGACGACGAAGCTCGTCAGGCCGGAACTGGTTCCTGGCCTTGAACTGGGTGCGACGATGCTCGGGGATGTAGCGTTCGGCCATGGTTGCTTGGGACACAGAGGGGTGAAAACAAAGCGCACCAAAGAAAGTGGGGAGCGAAGCTGAGATGAGGGAAAGATCTCAGAAAAAGGAAGGGAAGAAAAAGAAGCTCTCTGATAAGCTCTTGACAAAAAAGACGTCAGAAGAGAAGAAATAGACTTTTGAGTTGGTTGAAGACAAAAGGCGTCTTTTTTGGAGGGGGGAGAGATAAGATGGAGGAATGCGTCTTGTCTGTAGAAGGTGAAAGGTGTGTGAGGGGAGGGGAAAAAAGTTAAGTGTAAAGCCGTGTCTTAGCGCCAGTCAGTGTTCGTCCAGGCAGCCCCAGAAGAGGAATTTTTGGCTCAGGTCACGGGACTTATGCTGGCCTGAGGTTTCATTGTTGCTCCTGCCAAGCGCCACATCCGCCCTAATCGCATCAAGACGCGTCCATACGACGGAGTAGATCTATATAATCGACAGTTCTCCTATCATGCTTAAATATACCCAATCTTGAGCTCTAGCATCGAGTTTGATAACGAATTTGGAAAGCACTTGGGTCCGCTGCCAAACATAGTCCATGTCTTTCGAACTGACCGAGAACCCATCTTCTACAGCAGCATGCATATTTGCTCTGCATCATAAAATCGATATTTGACGAAATGGACAACGAGTCGGCTGCTCGCCACGTCAGTATACCTACTGCCCTCTCCTCTTCGGGGCTCGTAAGTGTGATTGGAGTGGTTGTGGATGTCTTCGAGGGTGCCTTCCAGTCAAGTCGCTCCTGGTGTATCACATTCACCCTCAAAGACACTGACTTTGGCAACGGACACGTGTGGGATGGGCTGAAGATCAAGTACTTCAAGGATAATCAAAGTCAACTCCCGCCTGTCCGAGTGCACGATGCTATCCTATTACGCAACATCACTGTAAGCGATTTAGCGCTATGAACAGTACAGCATTACTGACGGACTGGCCTGCAGATAACAAAATTTAACGGAAGACCTCTAGGTGTTGCACCTGATGAGACTACTATCCCATGGGCAATATTCCGTCCAGAGCCAGGCTTTGTGGACATTTCTCCCATCTGTGGTCCGGTTCCTTTTGAGCCGTCATATTCGGAGAAGTCGTATGCATTGTCTTTGATAGACAAGAGCTCTAACTTCAAATCCTTCCGCAACACTTCAAATGAGAAAACTGCTCCTCCGACTCTACGTTCTGTGAACTCCGTAGTCTCTGCACCCCGGCCAAAAGCCAATCAGAGGTTTTCCCTCATCAAAGATGTCGAAGAAAGAACATTCGTGGATCTCACCGGTGAAGTAGTCAAGATTTTTACCAATGATAGCGAAAAGGTCGCTCTCTATCTTACTGACTACACCACGAACGAAGGGCTTCACAACTACACCATTAATGCCAACAATGCTCGTGAAGGGGATCAGTATGCTTACCTACCGCGCTCCAAGAGACAATGGCAAGGCCCTGCTGGTCGCATGACTCTTCAGATAACTCTCTGGGAACCACATGCTTCCTTTGCCCGAGAACATCTCAAGGAGGGCAGCTTTGTTCGACTGAGAAATGTCCATATTAAGCGAAGTCGCATAGAAGGGACTCCACTGGAAGGGGCTATGCACTGCGATCGTCAGAATCCCGATGAAATGAACATCCGTTTGATCGATGCTAAGAACGATGAGCGCGGCCGAGAGTTGTTACGTCGCAGAAGGGAGTATTGGGAGAGCGACCCTCGAAAGCGGAAAGCTGAAGAGATGGAGGAGACGGCTTCCCGTCGCAGCAAGTCCCAGAAAAGCCAGAACAAGACAGCGAAAACGCAAAAAGAAGAAGGTCAAACCTCGCTCTCGTTGTCTAAAAAGTACGAAATCAATAAGAATAGTAAGCTTGTCCTCGTCCAGACCACAATAACTAAACCTAATTAATGTCCGGAAACAGTTCAGGCATCAAACCCATCTATCAGATGCACGAGTCTTGAGGACATCTTAGACGGCGGGTTTCACGAAAATATCTCGCCTAACCAGATTGAATATCGCATTCCTTTTCAAAATGTCTGCTACCGAGCCACTGTTCGCGTGGTTGACTTTTTCCCTCCAAAACTGCAAGATTTCGCCGTTCCAGAAGAGTTGGATCATGAGCCGCGTCCTGACCCCGAGGTGGATGAAACACTCAACTCCCACAGCTCCCACAGTTCAGGTCGTTTAATTAGATGGCAATGGCGGTTCTGCCTTTTGGTTGAAAATGTACCGCCTCCTACACACGGGAAGCCCAGAGAGCGAATGAAGCTATTTGTTTCTGGAGCTGATGCTGAGTATCTGCTCAGGTTTGACGCCGCCGAGTAAGTCATCACCGTAATGCATTCATAGACTACAGAAAGAGAGGCTTTGAGTATTCTAATTGTACGTTCATTCAGTTTGCGGAAAAGCCCTTCCAAATTAGGTCGGCTAAGAGAAAAGCTGGTCCACCTTTGGGGTAATCTCGAGAAACGGAAACAGGAAACTGCTAGCAAGGATGGCTCGAATTCTCAAGCTCGGGGTCCAGTTTCCGCACGCCCATTTACTTGCTGTATCAAGGAATACGGAGTCAGATGTAGTCATGAGAAGGCCACAGATGCTGGTGAGAAGGACGACGGCACTGGCTGTAGTCAGGAGACCTGCTTTGGCTGGGAGAGACGATTCGCCATGTTCAATACAACTATCCATGACTAGCCATCTGGTATTCTGACTTCTATTTTGAAATTCATTGCACCTTGCGGACTTGGTGAGGATACACCTGGAGACCATTTTTGTCCGGGCCCATCAAAAACCTGTTATCCTACAACACGCCATCGCATAATGGTCTTCAAAGATTCCGGGTCATCATATGTTCAGAGATACATACACTGAGCTGTGGCCTGGCTAAAGACAAAAATCAAGTTAAAGGCAAATGCCGAGGGGGTATCAAGTGATCAAGCCCTGGATGCGAGGCAAAAGGAAAGAATCGATCAATCGACATGACGAAAAGCAAATGCCACCATTGCATCAAAATCGATAGAAGTGCCCGGTGTCCATATTTCAAACCCATTGTCACAAGCAGCAGAACTTGATTACGCCGTATCAGCCTTGCAACTCCAGAAACATCCACTGTGCCGAGCGGGTGGACCACAACCGCACAGATTGCGAGCCTGTCCAAGACCATGACGGCGAGGTTGGATCATATTTTGGTAACCTTGACAATTGTGGTATCTACTCCATGGGCGGCGGCATCGAATCGGCAAGTCGAGCCCCAGACACACTCCTTCTTGCCGGGCTCGCTATGAGGGCAACGATGTCCGTACATACAGTCAGGATCATCGCACTCGAATTTGTAGCGACAAGGCGTCATGCGTGCAACGACCATCAGGATGTGGTACTCGCTTTTGGTTAATTTGCGTGAGTGATCGTGCCGGCAATCCTCAATGGGACATTCGCCCTGTAAGTAGAAATAGTTGCAAAGCTTCAGCTTCTTCATGCGGCTCAAATCATCCTTGGGGATCGTCTTGATATCAAAGCGATCGACACGCTGCCTGTACTTATTCTGTTCCACGATTTTGGGAGGTGGGGAGCTCAATGCCTTAGAACGAGTGGAGCGAACAATAGGCTGGAATTCCTCGGATTTTGGCATTTTCCTCGATGAGGTCGGCAAGGCAGGACTGTTACTTGTCATCGTGGTATTTGTGGACGTTTTCGAGAGTGGTGTTGCATGCTGAACTGGGGATGGTGTGAGGGAGGAACGGGACTTGGTTTCCTGGGGAGCCGACACCGATGCAATGTTCGTCTCTCGGAAGATATGAGTAAACTTTGCGACTCTGTAGGACGGCTTCATATCCTTCATGTCTCCCTGCAGCGGAACGCCCTCGATGAGAGTCACCCTCCCTATGTACTTGTAGTCCACCATTGTTTCTCTGAGAAACCGAGCATACGTCTCATCAAGTGAGCAACCGAGCAAGATCTGATGACAATGACAGTTGTTTAGATTGCGCTTGAAAATCTCTGGCCAGCCACTGTATTAGAACTCACCACAGAGCCAATCGCATCTTAAAAGCAGGCTGCACAGGGCAATAAGGACTGCATCACATACCTTCAATCTTATCGCTCGCTTTATTCTTGCCAGTGCCGACGTCGACGATATCAGAAAGCAAACCATTACCATTGAAGCCTCGGACGAATGCCTCGAGTGCCGGGAGCTCTGCTTTGATCCCTCCTTGAATGCAGAGCTCGGCCAGTCCCTTCACATTCATATATATCATCGTCACGATCTTGGGTGAGGCAATGTTTGGGAAATGAGTGGTAACGTAATCTTGCAATGCAGTTGACAGCTCTTTTGCTGCATTTTTCCCACCTTGTTCACCCTGCTTCAGGAACTCCTCCTTGAAAATGAGGCCGTGTCCGTCCAGAAGTACAATCATGTATGGTTCACGATGCTACATAATGATAGCAGAGATGTTGTTAGACGGAGACGAAGCTGAAGGCTTTGCCAGGGCTCACCATGAGTGCGTTCATTCTGGTGATTTCATTCATTAACTCCATCTCATGGATCTGAATCTCACGGTTAAAATGCTTCTCGCGTTCATGGTCGAGTTTCTGGCGCTGAAGAGCATTTTCAAGCTCTGCCACTCTTTGCAGAAGCTCCTAGTTTGAGAACGATGATAGTTAATATGAAGACTCAGGAGAAGTGAAGCCGAGATGATTACCTCAATCAGGCTGTTCTTGGTCTGCTCTATAGACATCACCTGTCTATAGCGCTCAGCGTAGGCAGGAGCCTCCATGGTGAACTATAGCAGGTCTGATGGATAAGGTAGTAAGGTAGCTCACTGCGCCGAGAAAAGCTGGTGATAGTACGGGGTACGGGGTATTAGAAGAGTAAAGAAAAGGTCTAGAGATGATGCAAAAGTAATCAGATCTAAAAGTACTTATTTTGTGTTATCATTCACTGTTCTAGATGAAGGTTGTAGGAGTTGTAAACAGGAATCTAAAAATATTGAGATTCACTAGAGTTGAGTTTCACTTCTGATGACGCTCAATGATAAATACTGAATGAAAAAAATCATGGAATATCTACAGTTGCTTTTCTCTTTTGCTGAGTTCATCAGGATTTAGCCATGCAAGCAAGAAGTAAAGTATGGTACTTTGCTCTAAGCAAGTTGATAAACAGTGGCAGGAAAGGATCTAGACAATGGCCAATCAGAAGCTGCATGGTGCCTTGGATGAGTCAGCCAGTGAATGGGGAGGTTCCCAACTTGTGACTACGTGGAGAAAAAGCACCTCAATTCCCCCTTCCACTGTCTTACCATTTTCCACTCCACTTCCCTTTCCTCGTCATCCCTCTCTTCCTTTCTTCTTTGTTTTATTCCCTTCCTACCTGTCTGAGTACGGTCTTCTACTACCATGGCTCGCTTCGGTTTTCTCTCGCTGGCATTGTTCTCTGTCCAAGCCCTCATCGGCGGTGGTCTCGCAGCTGTATGTCGCGAATTGTAGTTCTGCTGTCATTCTAGATCAATTGAATTGCTCACATAAAACGACGACCTCTAGGACACTACCGAGAATGCGCAGGACATCCCCGAGGTCCAAAAGCTCGCTGTGTCGGCGGAGGCTTCCTTCCCTGCTTCCGAGATCTTCGGCGTTAAGCTTGTCAACGGTCGCCCGACACAGGCATTGATCACTTTCACCAATGACGAACCTGCTCCTGTGACCGTCAACTTTATCGGTGGATCTTTGTCGACTCTCGATGAAAAGAGCCAGATTGTTCGCAATCTGACTGCCACCAGATATGGTCTTGAGATCCCCGCTGGCCAGAAGGAGAGTGTTAGCTACAGCTTCGCGACCGAAATGCACCCTCAGGACCTGAGACTTACCATCGCTTCCATAATTTCCGACAGCGAGGGAAGTTTCTTCACTGTCTATGCCCACAATGGCACCGTCAGCGTGGTCGAGCCCGAGACCAGCCTCTTCGATCCCCAAATGTGAGCTACTCCAAAATCCCGTTCGCGGTCAGAGACAGTTGGCTTATTGTTTATGACCTTAGTATCTTCCTCTACTTCTTCCTCCTGGCTTGTTTCGCTGGTACCGTTTACTTCTTCTACACCGTCTGGATTGCGCCATACTTCCCTCAGAAACGCAAGGCGGGAAAGGCTGCCGAGTTCTCCAAGAAGTCTTCTGGCGCATCTAAGAAGGCCGAAGAAGGTCCTAGCAGCCCCGCTGTTTCCTCCGCTACCACCTACAACGCCGAATGGATCCCAGCTCACCACATCAACCGCCCTGAGGCCAGAAAGGTCAAGGGTAGCTCCCGGTCTAAGAGCCGTGCCTAAAGCGTCGAGGCGGATAAGGTGGCTTTGACACTGATGATACATAGTGGCTGCGTACAGGCCGTCTATGGTCTCGTTGGCGAAGGCCAAAGTGGACCCACTCGAGGCAAGAGATTACTGAGAATGTAATCGGCCAAGAGGTTCAGGCGGCTACTGTCCAGGATAGTAGGTGTATATTTATGATAAAACCCCATCAGATAATGTTGGCATATGAAAGCCAAACCTGTTACTACCAATCGAATTACTATACTATACTGGAGCTCATGACCAACAAGTCGACGATTTCGGCCCTTTATGATGTACGGATGGAAACTGAGAAATTGATGAAACTCCCAAAGCTCAAAGTCGTTTCCATTCGTCGAACTCTGCTTCAAGGTGGCTTTTCAATTCGGCGAACTTATTGCTGAAATCCTTGCCACATCGCCAACATTTGAAGTCTCTCCGTAGATACCCTTCTCTGTCCGGATGTCGTCTCGCATCATCTTTGGTCAGGGGAAAATCCTCGATATCGACAAAGAAAGGGGTCGAGAAGCTATTATAATGCTTCCTGTGCTTCAGGCGATCGCTATACCTGTCCACGGAGATGATATGTATGTGTAGATGGTTCATAGACGGGTGCGCGTGGATGCCACACATGACCTCTTTCTCCCAGTCTCTCCCCTGCGGTAGCACATCAGGCGGCAGGTCTGCATTCAAAGCATCCTGTCTCTCTTTGTCCTGGGCTGAATATCTCCCGTACTTGCGTCTCAACTCGGCCGCGGCCAAAGTGCGAAGCTTTCTGGTTTCGGCCTTGACTTTGCTCAGGAACTCTGGATCTTCGAAGGCCTCAAATGGATGGAGCCGCGTTTTAGTTGGGTCACGAGGAAGCAATAGCAGATGTAAGGTAGACTTGGGGAACATGTCATGAATTACGACAAAATCATCGTTGTAGTATACCACGACGCTGGACGGGTATGATTCTGGCTTTTCGATGTAGGCGCCCAGACCGTCACGCGCCCCAATCCTGTTCTTGATATTCGTTTTCGAGGGGGGTGGCTCGCTTGTTTCTGTTGCTTGTTCTTAGGTGATAGAAGCTCTGAGACTGAGATTCAAGTCAGTCGTACTTTTGTGGAAAAAAGGGGACCAGGTCACGCATGTACAGGCATCTCTTTTCGCTGACTTCTCTGCCTGCGATTTGGAAGCCATGGCCTGCGCGGCATCGGCATGCTCTGTTTCGAGTATCGGTGATTCGCCCGACATTGTGATCACGAATGTATTTGACTTATATAGACTTGCGGCAGAGTGAGCTACCAGTAAACAATCTTAAAGCATCCACAGTCGGTTGATCTGTGGCCAGGATCATCTCTAATTCACTAGCATTAGCAAGATGCGGAGAGCGGGAAGCTTTGCGGTCCCCGCAGCTTCTGATAAAAGAAGTGGTTCTAGTGCGGGACAGCCTTTTTTGCCCGCCAGCAAATCAAGAACAACGACAAGTCGCTGTTCGGCATCCCTGCGATTCAATCATTGAGTTGCTCCACGGGCGTTGCCTAGGATAACGCAATATTCGCACAATGGGTCCCAAGAAGAAGCCCGACGCCCGTGGAGTCCCTAAGCCCGGGACTAAGCAAGCCAAAGCCGCTGCAGAGCGATCGGCTGAAAACGCGAAGAAAGCGCAGGCCGCCACGGAGGACCCAAAGAAACCATCTGTGAAGGAGGTGATTGGAGGTGCATCATGGACTGGAAAGCTGCCGGTCAATATGCTCGCGGAGCATTGTCAGAAGCAGAAATGGGAGAAACCTGAATATACAATGGTGAGTGGATGAGCGCAAAGATTCTAGGGCGCCTTCGTTAGCTGTGCGCGGTAGCGATGCTGACAGGATATCGCACGTTCATAGATGAAAACTTCAGATGGCTATGTCTCTTCAGTCATATTGAAACGGATCGATCCCAAGACTCGAGAACTGACCGTACTTCCTCCCATGAAGCCGCCACCATCACACAAGCATTTGGCGGCTCAGCCGACGGCGCTGGAAGCTCGCCATTTCGCTGCAGCGTACGCCTTGTTTCGAGTCTGCAACATGAGAAACCTACACATGATGCTCCCGCCTACGTATAAGAAGCTGTGGAAAGAGGACTTCACGGACATAAAGAACGCCGATACGAAGGAAGGAAAAGGGTGGATGTACGAAGCCGATCCATTCTTAGCGAAGCAAGAACGAGAAAATGCTGCTGCAGATCTAGAAAAGAAGCGAAAAGAGAGAGAAAAGGCGAAGGCGAAAGAGAAGGAGACCGCTGTCGATTTGGGTGTAGGCTCAAGTGGCGAGAACAAAGGGAAAAGGATCTGGTCACAAGCTCCGAAAGTTGATCTAGGAAATAAAATTCGCCGTGAACTCGAGGAGCTGTTGCGACAGTATACGATCTGGAATCCCTACAACGTGCAGATATCGGAGGCTGAGCGCAAAACCATTATTGAGGAGTTCCTTGGTTTGGGCTTCCGACGCAGTCACGTTGAAGAGGCTACCGCCGCCTGTAAAGACCGTGAAGAGGTCCTCGAGTGGCTTCTTATCTACGTCCCGGAGGATGACCTCCCACGGTGGTGTCTGCCCGAGAGATATACCGCCGGCGTGACCCTCGCCAGCGATGATCTTGCAAGGGAGGCCAAGATCAAACGGCTTGCGTCTTTTGGATATTCGGCTGATCTGTGTGCTCAAACTCTGGATAGCAAGCGCGGCGATGAGCTCGCAGCTGCAGAGTTCTTGCAAAGCACTCTAGTGCATGGTGAAAACCATTCTCTGGACTCGTTGCCCGCAGGGGACGAAGACTCCTGGGCAGAGGAACAGGATACACTGGAAGCAATCTTCGGAGAACGCTACAAACGTATATCGTCCAAAGTCTGTGAAATTAAGAGCGAGGCACTCAATCTTCCTGAATCTCTATCTTTTCGATTTCAAAAGCCTTCTGGGGGCTATCCATCATCTGTGCCTGTGATCGCCATTCAGGGAACTGGTATCCCGGCTTATATACGGCTCAGCGCGATACGACAAGCTGTACAATTCGCAGAGGAAAACTTCCTGGGAGAGTCGATGATTTTCAACATAATGGACTGGCTGGAAACACATCTACCGGAGATCATAGAAAACCCAGGCAAACTGCGAGACATTTCAACAGTAACGGGCTCTTCTTCCTCTGCAGTTGGCTCATTCTCAAGGCTCCCCGTTCGTCAGTCACGGAAGCAAAGCAGAAAGATTGATTGGAATCCGGATTCACCACTAGGCGTGTCTATTCGAGAAGCTTGGAAGGCCAGGCAGTCGACAACAGCACAACAAGTAATGACTCGGAAACGCGAGTCTCTGCCCGCTTGGAAAATTCAAGATGCTATCATACATGCCGTGAATATGCATCAAGTGACGATTATTTCAGGTGAAACAGGAAGCGGCAAGAGTACTCAGTCAGTGCAATTTGTACTAGATGATATGATTAAACGT